ATGACAGGAGGCTAAGCACCCTCATCTTGCTTAAGAACCAGGCAGAAGAAGAAAGGACAAGCAAACTGAATCCTGCATTTCTTCCAGCCTTCCCCTTCCAGCTTAGAATCAGCACAGCTGATTAAAGCATAGCGAGTGCCAAATCTCCCCAAGCGTTTCCCATTTCAGCGCAGGGTTGAGTCAGCCACAATGGTAGCAGGGGAAGAGTGGGAAACAAGAAACTCCAGGGAGCAACTGCGAACAGTAAGGAGAGGAAGTGGAGAACACAATGAGAAGAAATGATGGTGTGTCTACAAAAGGGTCAGAAAGGATGGAGGAAAATCTGAGCATTCAGGGTTTTTAAAAATTTTTAAACAGCTGCCATTGCACATCACCAGCACTGGAACACCACAGGCATCCCCACTAGCTGGGGATGACTGGTTTGGCAGCTGTCTCTCAGCAGCAGCACAGGGCAAGGGCAGCTGGGACCAGGCAGAGCGCACCGCTGTGATCAGAGGGTCATGAGGGCAAGAAAACACTGCTACCCTAAGAGAACTCAAGAGACCTGGAAAATTAAGCCCAGGCATGGACAGAAGTGTGAATCTCAGAAAAATTCCTGCTGGAGGCTCAAGAGAGAGCAGATCTCACTGTGCAGAAGTGCCAGATCCCTTTTTCCACAGAAGTGTTCTTCACCTGACGTGGGGTTTTTTTACAGATTTCCCATAACTTTAAGCTTTTCAATACAACAATTTCTATCTCTGAGAACTGAAACAAAGGGTTTTAAAAAAGGGTGATCATGGAGTCTGGTCCTAGTCATTCCCTGTGCTGAGGTCAACAGAAATCAGGACTCAGAGGGTCAGAACTCTTACTGACAAACTGGGAGTCATGCTTTTCCCCAACCTTCTTAACAGGCAATAACTACTCAACAGAATTAACTGTAGACCATTTTGGCACGTACGGTGCAATAGCATACAGCCACAGAAGATCCTGGAATTTCTAATTTTTGTGCAGCTTGGCCAATTCTCATTTACATTCTGTGCCATTACAGCTAACTGCAACAACTCAGGACTTAACGAAAGAGATCACACTGTACAAACCAGGATCATCCACTGTTCAGATGCTATCACCTTGATGAAAAGGTGCAGGAGTTGTATGATATATGACGTAATGAATGTGTGACACGTCCCAAACTGATCTGATCTGCTGCTCTCCAGTAAAGTCCAGGCCGTGAGAAAGACTTTTTCATGATCCTAAGTAATTTAATCCCTGTGTGGATTCTCCCATGCCTAGTAAGAGTCAAACTCCAGGTGAATCCTCTTCTTCAGCTGGAACTGTCAGTATGGATTCTGCCACCTACTCATTCTGGTGTTCCCAAGCATGTCCAAAGGGCAACCAGGCTGGTGAAGGGACTTGAGCACAAGTTCTATTAGGAGTGGCTGAGGGAGCTAGAGAAGGCTCGGGGGAGACCTCATCACTCTCTACAACTACCTCAAAGGAAGTTGTAGCCAGGTGGTATCAGTCTCTTCTCCCAGGCAATCTGCAGTAGGACAAGAGGGTGTGGTCTTAAGCTGTGCCAGGGGAGGTTTAGGTTGGACATTAGGAAGAAGTTCTTTACAGAGAGAGCAACTAGACATTGGAATGGGCAGCCCAAGGAAGTGGTGAAGTCACCCTCCCTGGAGGTGTTTAAGAGACTGGATGTAGTGCTTAGTGCCATGGTCTAGTTGACATGGTGGTGTTGGATCAAAGGTTGGACTCGATCTCAGAGGTCTTTTCCAACCTAGTTGATCCTGTAAAGTTTAACATCAGAAGAGAAACTGAAAACTATGGTTACTCTTGTATTAGCAATGAGTAGATCTGTCACATGGAGAAGTTGATGCCAAGGATCAAAAGTGAAGGGGGTGAAGTAGGGAACAGGAGAAGATAAACGGGTTATTTCAGAATAGTCTTCTCCCATGAACTGGACACCCATTAGTGGTCAAAGCCTGTCAGGTGAGTTTTTGGAGCATGTCTTTCAGCTCAGTTGCATTCAAGAGGAATCCAAGCAGGGGACTAAGAGACCTCAGTGATATGAACACAAACAAGCAGAGTAAGGACAATCTGGAGACTCACTTGAAAAGCATGCCCTGATCTAAACTACAATGCTGGGGTGGGTACTCCCTGCACAGACCACCCTTCTCACAGATCTGCTGTTTGGCCCTGGGGTTACCACAGGGTGGGAGTGGAAGTGCCATGAGTACTCCTCATGTACAATTGTAATGGGTTTCTGTGGCTGGGTTTTGGAGCAGGGGGGCTACAGGGGTGGCTTCTCTCAGAAGCTTCCTGGCCCTGCAGTCCATGGTGCAGACCATGGTGGGGCAGCTGTGCCCCTGGAGCCCATGGGGGACCATTGGGGTGCAGAGACCCCCCTGCAGCCCAGGGAGGAGCCCACACTGGAGCAGGGGGATGCAGGAAGGAGGCTGTGACCATGTGGGAGGCCCAAGATGGAGCAGGGTCCTGTCAGAGACCTGCAGCCTGTGGAGAGGGAAGCCCAGGCTGGAGCAGGTTTTTTTCCTGGGTAGGACTTGTGGCTCCTGTGGGGGACCCACACTGGTACAGCTCATTGGTGAAGGACTGCACCCCAGGGAGGAGTGACCCACGGGACAGCAGTTTGGGAAGAACTGCTGCCTGAGGGATGGACTCAGGCTGGAGAGGTCCATCAAGGACTGTCTCCCATGGGAGGGACCCCACAGGAACAGGGAAAAGACTCCTCTCCCTGAGCAGTGGCAGAAGCAACAACTGACTGCAACCTCCATTCCCTGTCCCCCTGCACCCCTTGGCTGGGAGGAGGGAGAACATAGAAGGAAGGAGGGGTGGGGGAAGGTGTTTTTTTTAAACTGTTGTATTTTTCACTCTTTGGCTCTTATCCTGTTAGTAATAAATTTAAGTAATATGCCCACTTTGAGTCTGTTTTGCCCATGAAGGTAATCATTAACTGACCTCTCCTAGCTCTTATCTGTACTCATGAATCCTTCGTTGTTTTTCTCCTCTCTCCTCTGTCCAGTTGCAGAGGGACAGAGAGTGGCTTTAGTAGGTACCTGGCATCCAGCCAGGGTCAATCCACTACAACAATGCGCTGGGCATCTCCCTCACGGAGGTGAGGTAATGATAAAGCAGGTGATGTATTTCCCTCAACCAGCAAAGCCAGAAAAACAGAGAAATAGCACAGTCAGCTTAGGACTCCACCTCACAGGAAAGCAAATGAAAAGTAGAGTGCAAGCCAAGTTCATTATTTTGAAACTGTGGGATGGAAATAAAAAATAATCCATGTCTGGCCCATTCACTGAACATTTTGCCTCACCTTCTAGTTTGGATAATGCTGTGTGTGAATAGAACAAAATGACATCTCAGGACCTAAAAAATCAGAATAGGACACAAACTACTGTATCTGAAGAGAAAACCATTGACTATTTACTGCAAAAAAATGCATCCCATTGTTACAAGGAAAGAACAGGCAATTTAAATTGCCAGTTCATCAGCAAAAATTGTTTAGTGAATCAGTGAATCCTAGTATTTTTGGTAGCACACAACCAAGAGAGGGAAAAATGGAGAACTGAACCATTCTGTCAGCTTACTCACCTCTGGATTATTCTGCTTTTTGCTCATCCTTACATCTTGGGGGGTTTTTTGGCTGGTTGGTTTAACCTAACTACATGAAGACTAAGAAAAGGAACTGGTTGAAGAAGAGACAATTGGTGAAACTATGAGAAGATAAATCTGTAAAAGCATATATATCAAATAGGAATTAGGTTCCTAATGATTGGTGGACTGGAGTCCCAAATGCCTTCCAAAGAGAAATTTTGGCATTGACTCAATAAATCTTGAGGAGAGTGATAGAAGCACTCCTGTATGCATAATTCAATATTGCTGTTCCTAACTTCTGAGTATAGCCTCTCCTCAATTTTCCTGAATGATGGAGATCAACCGCAAGGTAAGACTTTCGTTTAGTGTGAAGGGGAAGGGCTTTCTGTTCTTTACTGTGGACAGCTTTTGGCCTTCTGGATATTATGTGGGAAACAAACAAATGGATTGCCTTTGCCATAGTAATATACCACACACTTTGTCTCTTTTGCCCTAGTCCTGCATGACTTGGTATGGTGAGTACAGGTCTTCAACTGACAGCCAGTATTTGCTACTGCCAAGAAGCATTTTTGCATGGTTGCACAGCTTAGGTAACAGCAGACATCTTTCAGCATCTGCAACTGCAGAGGGATGAATAACGATGTAAATGATCCTTTCCAGTTCTTCCCTTTCCTAATTAAGAGAATACATTCAATTCACTAAAGCCATCTGTGTGACAATTATCTTACTGTGAAAGCTCAGATCAGATTTCCTCTTCCAGAACCTCATCGTTTCTGATGCTGTTGTTACTGATTAGGCCTAATCTAAAATTTCAGCTCTCTGAAATGTACATTGCCTTATAAGATAGACTGTGACTACCATGCTTAACCATAAAGACATTTTGAACTTACAATGATAATGTTCTTCAAAGTCTTCAATTCCCTAGCTACTTTTAATAAGGATGCTATACTTCTTTCACCCCTGAAATATTTTATTCCTGTATTTTTCGAATTGTTCATGCAATAGGGAAGATACTTCAAAATCTTTAAGAAGAAAATTAATTCAGCCAACCTTCTTGATAAAGTGCCTGTTGATTACTTCTTCTTCTACTTTATGCTAAAAAAGTACTTTTTCCACAGAGTTAACACTATGACTAACTGCTTTTTTCTAGAAACCAGGAAAATAATCTCTACTGTATCATCCAGTTTAAGCCTTTTCTTTATTATTACCCACTACCAAAATTCAAAGGCTTGACTGGACCACCATTTCACAGAAAGAAAGAGCATGAAACATGACATTTTGTTTAAGGTACAAAGTCTAAAGCTGCAGCAGTCACATTTAGCTACTCATACTCAACAGAAAAAGCAGTTTACCAACCAGTATTGCAGTACCCTAGAGGAAACAGATATATAGACTCAGACAGGTGTTCTCCAAAACATATTTTTAATGTAATCTGCATTTGGAGCCTAAGGAGAGTAAGAGCAGAGAAATACGCTTGTTATTCCTTTTTTACATTACTCTTAAAGCTAAATTACTTCACGTAAAAAAGAAACTGCAATATTTCCATACACGGAGCTAGCTCTGCATAGGAAGTTTTTGCGATAGAATGGAACACAAGGACAACGTTAGTTAAAACCAAACCAACAACAGCTTTTTGTTCTGCCCTCACTGAGGGCTCAACACTTACTTTTACACTCAAAGCCAAGAAATAAGAGCAGTCTAGAATGTCTCACATCAACTTCCCCACAATCACTTTGAAGCGTTCATTGTAGTCACAGAAGGTAAAATTAGTGTTTAGTCTACTTTTTCATGCTTCTCAGCTTTTTAGAGTATAACAGTCGTTCCACTCTATACTTCAAAGCATGAGGAAGCTATTTCAAGAGTAGTCATATCCTGCCACTGTTACCTTGCAGCTGATACAAAACCGAGGCACATTTTTTTCTCAAAAGGTTTTTATCTTCTTAATAATTCTCCTTTAAGGATTTTATTTCTTAATTCCTAAGCATTGTATTCCTTTTTTTAAAGTAGTGTTTTGCAAAAATGGAAAGAGGTTAATTTTAACCAGTTACAAAACAGTCATTAAAAGACAGCTCTTTGTGGACTTAGTAAATACACAAAACTACTTCCTTTCTGTTGTAAAGTATATATGGAAAACCAACACACTGTTGCCTTGCATTTCAGAAAGCATCTTTACACTGCACTGAACAAACAGGACAGAGACACCGCAGAGAGCTGGAATCTTGTTTCCAGCCTAAGTGATATAAAAATAGGAATAAAATTTTAGAATTTTTTATGAGAATATTTTTCATCTTCCTTGTTGAAGTGCTTCAGTTGAAACCCAGAATGATTAGAAGCTGCTTTGAGCATTTATCCCCTTTACAAAAATGTAACTTCAGAGGTCTCAACAAGCAAGGAGGTATCAGTGTCTTTGTCTCGAGGAAGTTTAACCTGTAAGTTGTTTAATCAATGTAAAACCTGTTTCACCCCTGCAGGGTGTACAATTATTTCCGCAGTGTTGTCAACATTTTTCTGTGTCAGTAGCTCAGAGGCAGTGCATCTCATCAGAAAAAAAAGGCCAAATAGGAAGAAAAGAGAAGAACAGTAAAAGAATAAGTTAAAAATATGACAAAAATAAAACCATTCCTTGTGTTCTAAATGCTCTTTACTTCCTTGTCCTTACCACAGCTTCAATACCACTGCATTTAGCATCAATATGTTTCACTAAAATAAACTTATTCCCACCTCTGAATAGTAACAATAATAATAATAATAATAATAATAAAAATAAAATATCTGGTCCAGGAAATCGGTATCTATACTGGAGACAAACTCTTTGTATCAGGGCTGAGGCGGCAAAACTGCTACTAACCATTAGTGCAGGCCTTAGTGGCACATGCATCTCAGACAGGGCCTGCTCTCCCAGCCCTCCTTCCCAGCAAGTAAATCCTAAACTAATCCCTAACATATTACTCAGCACAGGCTCTGTACCAAACTCTTTTAAAATTAAGAGAAATAAAACAGGGTAGTGTAAACACACAGGGCTAAATGCAAAGTTGCCATAAATGCATGAACTCACCTGCTGGGACACCTAAGACCAAGTTATCTGGCAACATAAGTGTTCAGCAGAGAGGCTCACCACCTTGAAAAGTTAAATTCTGCATAGTGGTGATAAGTCTTTTGGACTGATGCACTTCAGTAGATATTTAGACAGAACTACATGCAATATATCAGCATGTCCTAATAAATTGGTTTGTTTCTAAAGAGTAACTAACACAGTAAGCCTTCCTTGTAGCAATATTCACTAGATTTACATAAATGTAATAGTGATATGCTTTAATTTTGGGAATGTTTTCCATTTTAAAATTTTGCTCAAAATTAACAATTTTTAGATTATATTACTGGACTAATGAACATAAATCAGAGAATGGTTTGGGTTGGAAGGCACCTTAAAGACCACGTAGTTCCAACTCCTCTGCCATGGGCAGGGACATCAAAGGAATAACTAGACCAGATTGTTCAGAGCCCCATCCAGCCTGGTCTTGAGCACTTCCAGGGATGGGGCAGCCACAACCTCTCTGTACAAGTTGTTCCAATTTCTCACCACCCCCACAGTAAAGAATTTCTTCCTAACATCCAATTTAAATCTCTCCTCTTTCAGTTTAAAGCTATTCCCCCTTGTCCTATCACTATATGACTTTGTAAAATGTCCCTCTCCAGCTCTTTTGTAGCTCCCTTAAGGTACTGGAAGGTGCTATAAGGTTTCCTTGGAGCCTTCTCTTCTCCATGCTGAACAACCAAGTAATAATGTCCAGCTAATACTAAAGAGGGTATTTGTCAGTTATAAAGACAAAAAAATCCTCTAAAAATACCTTTCTCTGTGACCTATACAGAAAGAATTATTTTTATGACTTGATATATAATGTGTTTCTAGCAGGGTATGTTTTGTTTATCTCTACTTACAGACTAGCAGAAAAGCATTGAAATACATCAATTCAAAAATCAAGCTACATGTTCTCACAAATGACAAGCTGAGTGGTATGTGTCTTAAGCGTTACAAATGAGAGTAATTGAGTCAACTGATTAGAATTTTACTCCTGTGTGATGCAAATGAAACCTGCATGCTGGCTTATATCAGCAATGGTGTGGACAGCAGGACCACTCCCCTGTACTCAGCACTGAGGAGGCCACAACTTGTTGTGAGGCCCCTCACTACAAGGACATTGAGGTGCTGCAGCATGTCCAGAGGAGGGCAACGGAGATGGGCAAGGTTTTAGAGCACAAGTCTGAGTGGCTGAGGGAGCTGGGGATGTTTAGCCTGGAGAAAAGGAGGCTCAGAGGAGCCCTTACTGCTCTCTACAGCTATCTGTAAGGAAGCTGTGGCAAGGTAGAAGTAAGTCTCTTCTCATGAGTAACAAGTGATAGGACAAGGGGAAACAGCCTCAAGCTGAACCAGGGAAGGTACAGATTTGATATTAGGAAAAAATTCTTCATGGAAAGGGTGGTTAAACATCAGAACAGGCTGTCCAGCAAAGCAGTTGAATCACCATCACTGGAGGTATTTAAAAGATGTGTAGATGTGGCACTTAAGGACATGGTTTAGTGCTGAACTTGGCAGTGCTGGGTTAAGGGTTGGACCCAATGATCTTAAAGGTTTCTTCCAACTTATGATTCTTGTAATTTTATACAATGTAGACACAGCAAGGGACAAACAGATGAAAACTGCTTGAAAATAGCAAGTCTTATAGTGGCAATACACAAACAGCACTGCTTTGAACACATCTTTGCTTAAAAATATCCCCATAATTTTCCTAAGAATGGCTAAGCTAGTAGGCACCATGCTGTACACTGACAGAAATGCCAAAACAGACCAAAAGCGTGGAAGTACTATTCTTATATGCTCCCAACACACATTTTTCCTCAACTTAAATGACAAAAATATTCCAACATCAACTTAAAAAATAAACATTAAGTATTAAAAAGACCCTCCTAATCTAAGTAATTTGGATTCTAGATATCTTTCTCTAAAACAGCTTGTTGAATTTCTGGAGTAAGAACCCCATAGATACGCTTACTGCCCACCACTGAGATGAAACATTAAGTCAAAAATATCCAATATGCTAGACCACTAAAGTTGCAAGTAAACTGTATCCTATCCAGCAGAAATTAATTTCACTTTAAGACATTTGCAGGGCTAATGTGCCATAATAAATCCTACTAATAATCAACAGTAAAGTGCTGAATTATATTAATTACCTGAATCGCACTCACGTTTATGATCTTCATTTATAGACTTATCAAGTCAAAAGAGCCCTTTCTGTTGTAGAAGCTAAGCTATTGTGCAAATATTATAAAAATAGGTACTTTAATTAGGAGCTATATACACAACAGAACTTCCGCTTTTGTTAAGTAGAGCTGACACAGTAGAGATGAAAAATCCATGCAAGTATTTATAAAGATACTTAAAAAGAAGAAAAAAGGACACTGCTATAGAACTTCCAATACCCTGGCAGGCAGCCACTTACTATACTAGATGATGTCTAGATCTGGACTGATAAGCATCATGCCACAAACATGCTTTAGTTTCTTCTGTAGATTTGCAGATTTTAAAGTACAGCATATATTTGAACTATTTCTCATTAAAGTGTATCATTAAGGTTTAAGGTTAAACTCTGAGCAAACTTCACATCTAGTCACATAACCAGCATAAGCAAGACATTAGTGCACAGGGGAAGGTGTCAGTTGTACATAATGAGGACTCTTCCCCCAGCTGCACGATGCAATAGAACAATTTTCAGATTTAAAGTTCAAGTGGACTACAGTCAGAAAAAGCAAGATTTTCTTTTCCCAAATTTAGGATAAATTTCCAGAGGAACAAGATGAAAGCAACCTCAGTTACAGCAGTCAAAGAAGTCAAACCCAAGTTTAGAGAGCTGATAAATAACTCCAAAATTCACCATGCTATGAAGACAGCATTCTCAAAAGAGTTCCAAACGAACTGCAAAACAAAATTGGCATTTAAGTTGAAATTGGCCAAGTGCTGCATAGAAATATGCTCACACACAACAGTCATGTTAAAGCCAGTGCATAGAGAAGATAAAAGCACTTATGGTAGTTGCAAATGTTAACAAGTCCATTCAACTTGTACAGTTTAGCAATGAGTCCATAGAAAAAGAAGAGAGTAAGAGTAGAAATGCTCAAGCAAAACCAAAAAAAGATGACCTTCCAACCGTATAAAATCCACATGACAGTTATAGTAGAAAGACATCAGTGGAAAATACTCGACTCAGTCCCAAACACCCAACAGGCAAATAAGACCAGAAAAGACAAGCCTTTGGCAGACAATTTGAAAGTCTAAATATGGCATTACATTTCTAAATAATCCACAAAATATATTATATGGCATATTCATATTAAATACTGCGTAACCAACTCTGCAGATCTGATGCTAACAACACTTTAGCCAATGAGAGCAAAATGGAGCAAGCTAAGGGAACGCTGGTGTATCACAACAGTGCTCAAGGAAAATATTATCACCAAGTCGTGCTTCAAAAACAGTGCTCTGAGACACCACACTATCATCTATGAAGCAAAACAAAGTTCTCTAGTTTTTCAGGGATGTGCCCTGCATAAGATATGTTATGATTCACTATTACACGAGCAGCGAGACACTGCAAAGTAGTATGATTTATGGGCTGGATTAAATTTTTTGCTATTTCCTTCTCATCCAGCAAATCACTAGCAGTTTGTTTATGTGAGTTTGTGGCATCAAAATGTGAACCAGACTTGATGAGAAGATTCATGATGCCTGGATGGTTGTTCAGTGCAGCGATGTGTAATGGACTGTTGTTATCAGAGTCTCTGACATTTGTATCAGCACCACATTCCACCAGGATAGCAGTAACTTGTAGAGAAGAGAATTTACAAACTGGATAGCGACCCACACATCTTGTCAACAGCAAGGTGAAGTGGACTGAAGTTATTCTTCCCTCTAGGCTGAAGTTTAAGAAACTTGTAGATAGTCTGTTTCTTAAAATGCTCCTGTTCTGAGCTGCAAGGTACTTTCTCCAACAAACAAATTAAATGCAAAATTATAGAAAGTGCTTTGTTCAGCTGTGTTGGATCGGGAAGACACTGGATTTGTTTCATGGTCTGCTCTATTTCAAGAACACTTTTGCACAGTATACCCATTAGATCATCAAATGTGACAGTAGTGCCTAGCAGGCCTTTTGCCCTGTCCTGAAGCACGAAGGAAAAGAGTTCAGCAAATGACAGCAAACTGCTGGCTGTCATAGGGCTCAGCGGATCAAGGTTGCTCTGCTGCATGCCCAAAGCATATTTCCATAAGTTGATGCATCGCTTGAAGTTTCCAGAGTCTGCATAGACGGCACCTCTATATCTAATATAGTAGGATGTGTCTGGGTGAGAAGGACCAGGAATATGTTCTCTAATTAATAGTGCTTGCATTCTCATTTCATCAGGGTCTGCAATAAGATTTTCTAGCTCTTCTGAGTTGTTTACCTCTTTAGCATAATCATATGCCATAATTAGTGTTTGTGGCACAGGTTTGCTCAGGATGCTAATCCTATCACTGTATCTTATTTCCATAGTTGCTTCCAGTATTTCAAAGCACCAAGCAGATCTCTCTTTTTGTCCACGAATGTTGCTCCTAGAAGTTCCAGCGCATTTATGCGCTCAGCCTTACTAGTCTGTACATGCTGGGTCAGAAAGTCCACGATATTTGTGTGGCCTGTAACACTGGCTGACAGAAGGGGAGTCATTCCATAACCATCCTTTTCCATTTTAGCACAATACTTGAGAAGCATCTTCATGATCTCCAAACTTCCAGATTCAGCACAGTCATGTAACGCTGTATTTCCTGCAAGAGAAGAAACATGATTACACAAATCATAATCAAGTTATAGTCCAAACCCCATAATTCTACTAGTTAAAAAAAAGTTTAAAAAAATCAAATATGACTACTTTTAAAACAGTCTTTTCCACATCTGTGTATTATGAAAGCTTAGATGACAAGTCAAAATATTCAAGATCTGATTAAATATCAAGGCTACCAGGCAGTTATAAAAATCAAAACGCTTGATATTATGGCCTGAAAGAATTTAGCAAGTTTTTAAAAAAATGCAAAACCGAACCAGAATTAAAATGCAAGTCTCCACTACATAAAAGCAAAGGAGCAGGAATTCCACTGATAAGTCAAGCAAAAGGGAGACCAGTAGGGTTGAACAGGGAACTCCTCATGCTGCTCAAGAGGAAAAAGAAATTGTATTGTCTCAGGAAGTATGGTCAGGCTTCGCAGGAATTTGACAGAGCTGTAGTTGATATAAGCAGGGACAAGACACAAAAGGCCAAAGCTCAGTAAGTATTGAAACTGGCCCATATTGTGTAAGACAAGAAGAAGAGTTTTAAAAGTACATTAGTAGCAAGAGGAGGTCTAAACAAAACATTAGACTGATACATGCTGAAGATGGTCATCTGATTATTAAGGGTGAAGTAAAGTGGAGACATTCTTTGCTTTATTTTGCCTCAGTCTTTAATAACACACACTGACTGTCCTCTGCCCAGTCCCTGGCTTCAGAAGATGACTGTGGGAACAGTGACTTTGCATTAGTCTGGACACTTCTTAGGGACTGTGTCAGCTCAATGTTCACAAGCCCATGGGACCTCATGGGATTCACCCCAGAGTACTGAAGAAGTTGGGGGATGATATGGCAGGACCCACCCCTCATCAGCTACCAAAGGTCTTGGGAGTCTGGGGAGGTCTCCACTGACTGGAAGCCAGACGTTACTTAATTTTATAGGAAGGGCAAGAGGGATGACCCAGGAACCTAGAGATGTATTAGTTTAACCTCAGTACTAGGACAAATCACGGAGTAGGTCATATTGAATGCTACTTTAGAAAAGCATCTAAAGGACTATGCAATTATCAGGCACCATCAACACAGATCCACAAAGGAAAAGTCCTTTTTTAACTACACTGATATGCTTCTCGGATAAAGTCATCCACCCAGCAAATGGAGGGAAGGTAGTGGATGTAAGTTTTTTGCATTTTAGTAAGGTTTTTGATAATGTTCCTCACAGCATCTGCCTGCACAAGTTGTCCAGTTGTGGAATGAGTAGGTTCATGGTGCACTGGGTGAAGAACTGTCTGAAGGGCAGAGCTCCAAGGATTGTAGTTGATGGGGTTACAGCTGGCTGGCCACAGGTCACCGGAGGTGCTCCTCAGGGATCAGTCCTAGGACTGTGCTGTTCAATATATTTGCCACTGACCTGGACACAGGAGTCAGATGCACTGTTAGTGAGCCTGCTGATGATTCCAAACTAGGAAGTGCTGTTGACTCTTCCATGGGAAAAGGGGATCCAGAATCTGGATGGTTTGGTGCACTGAGCAATCATCAATGGCACTAACTGAACAAGTGCAAATGCTGGACTCTGTACCTGGGATTTAGTAACACCAGGCACAAATATAAATTGGGAGGGGAGTGGCTGCAGACCAACCCTGCAGAAAGGGTCCTGGGGGATCACTATGAGTCACCGTGTGCGTGGAGAAACCCCATCCTGCCGTGCATCAAACACAGCACACACAGCGGTCCAAGGAGGTGATTATCCTGCTGTTTTCAGCATTGGCACAGCCCCACCTTGAGCAGTGTGAGCAGTTCTGGGCCCCACAATTTAAGAAGGATATGAAGGTCCCTCAATGTGCCCAGAGCTCAAAGTTGTGCCAGGGGACCTTGAGGCTTGATATGAGGAACCTTCTTTGCTGAGAGGTGATCAAACAGTGGAACAGGCTTCCTCCAGAGTTGGTTAATGCTCCAAACCTGTCAGTGTCACTGCTTTTGGTTAATGTCCTTAGTAATTTGGTAAAATTTTTAGTCAGCCAAAAACTGGTCAGGCAGTTGGACTAGATGATCACTGTAGGTCCCTTCTAACTAGAATAACCTATTCTGTAAGGCATTTTGTAACTGCTTTCAAGTATAAAACAGAAACTTAAGCTGGCTATTTTCACGTTCCTTTACTTCTCCCTCATCCCTCCCTCTCTATTTCCAGCAACAACTATAAAATACTGAGATGCACATGAAAATTAAAGCTGGGATAACCCAATATTGGCTTTGTTTTCATCTACCCTACACCTCTTCCTCTCTCCACCTGCCAACCCTTTTTATACGCATATTTTGAAGCAATGATTCTATATAGACAATGCAATCCACCACACCAGACCTTCCATCTCAGCTGGGACCTTTGAGACTGTCAGTATATTCAAAGGGAGCAGGATATTTTTTCAAGGTCATCTATATACCCAGACAAACTATTCTTAATGCTTTCTTAGGCCTTTATCCTGAACTCCCATCTTAATAACTCTGCTCTTGTAGTTAGGATTCCCAGAGCTAAGAATAACACGCCCTCAACACACAACATGCAGCCACCTATCTTACAAGTACCTTATCATTCATATGAAGATTCTTTTTCATTAGCATGACATTGTACAGAATTTTATTTAATGGCATTCCAGTTCCAACACCATGTGAAGAAATTTCTAGTTAGCACTAGTGCTACCTACTTGAAAACTCTATTTACAGAAAATTAGAGAGCAAGTATTGGACACCACACTTGAATATCTAACTGTTAGCCTTCAACTATATTAGAAGTTTGCTTAACTTCAGATACCAGCATTTCAATGGTATTTCAATAAAAAGATGGAGATAAACTCTCCTGGTCCCCTCTCAACACAACAAAGTCTATTATGTAGTTGACTGCATTAAAACCACACGGTTTACATCTACCTTGTTCTTTATGTTATACATACTACAGACACAGGCATAGAAACTTTTCAGCTTCACGCAAAACCAATTAACAGAAGATTCATGTTAAAATCTGCCCTCCAACACCATTAAGATTTCCTACATCATTAGGCCTGCAAATTCCAGTTAACTGCCCATCCAATCATCACCTTCTGGTACGCTGTCAGCAAGTTTCCACATTCACAAATGAGAACCTAATTTTCTAAGGGTTCACTGCCCATTCCTACTAATCAGATTTGGCTTTTAAAAGCTGAGACAGACAAGTTTCAGGAAACTTCCTTATTTGCATTTTTCGCAGGCTTTTTTTTAATGCCAACAAGAGAGAGATTTACAGTGTGCTTTGCCACTGTATTTCTAGTCTCTAACAGAACTAATGTGGGTTAGGAAAGAAAGCAACAGAAATCTTCAGCTCGTGTGAGGGATAAGTGTATTTGTACAGTCTACTAATCTGAACACCTTCTATTTATATTCATACACTTTCATTTTTTTCCTGACTCTGATCTCTAGAATGCATGGTTCACTTTTCATTCTAGAGCACCAGTTAATGAAACTCTAGTCAAAAGCATACTTGGCATCTGCCTTAAAAGTCTAACACTGTATAGATATAAATTAAAACTAAAATGAAGGTACAGCCTTTACATTAATACATTCTTTCTGTCAAGAATGTATAGTTTACAGTAGCCTGAATACGGTAAATTGAAAAGCAAAACATTTCAAATTAGTACATATATATGTATATAAGAAAAAAGGTTTCATACTTATTAAGTACACTTCAAAAATAGAAAATGTGTTCCATTTTTAATTATAAGAACTTGATGCAGATCTATACAAATAATTCTGACATCTTCTAGCTTTTACAAATATGATTTCATAGCACACTTACCTCCTTTCTAACAAGACACAGTAAGAGTACATGAAGCTGAAGGAAAAGAAACCACAAAAGCAAAATTCAGAAATGCCTGCTCAAACCATAATGACTATCCTCTAAATTCCACACCCACTTCTCACCAGCAGATTGAGAGACCTTAGATCCACAGTGTAGACCTATATTCTGTGGTTTGAATTAGCAGATTGTCACACAGTAGCTTGCTTTTATCTTCTGTTGGCAAAGCTGCCAAGACAAGAAAATGTTCACACAATGCTCTGCAAGCTTTGGTATGCAGAAGAAGTACGTAGGAACTAAAAGACTTTAGATGAATATTTTCTAATGGGTACTAGGCATTTTGTCTTGTTTTCCTCACTAGTATCCAAATCATCCACTCATCACTCCTTCTCTCCTAATCTTTCAGTTCTTAAAACTTCACATGTATATTGGTTGCCTACTTCTTCCTCAAACAGGTTTGCTGACCATCTGAAAAAGAACTCAGCACATTTTAAGGCTTCCTTATTACTCTCAATTCCTGCAACCAGAAAACTAGCAATAAGAGAATATGCAGTTATCCAGGACAAACTCAATCTCAATCCAGGCTCAGTAGAAATCAAAATTTAACTGACACAATAATCAAATTCACACAAAAATATATAAAAGTTATTTTCAAAAACCTATGACTTAGGTTTAGGAGGCTTTTGTAAATATAGCTGAGCTATGAATATATTTTTCCTTAAAATTTAAATGCAGGATTGAAATATTTAAAGAAAAATATCAGATTGCTTTACTAACTGAAAGTGATCTTAACTTGCAAAATATTATTTTCCTGAAAGACTTCTGAATAGTGGCCAATGATTTCACTATCATTTACTAACAAATAAGCAGAGGAAGACAACCCAACATGAAGTGGCACCTGAAATTATCTCTTAGATCAACATTCATAAAGCTGAATCTAGTTCATGCAACAGAAAGTGATTTTTAATCCTTGAATTACCTCAGACAATTTTTACTATTAATAGAGAGCATTAAGTCAATTATAAGTCTGGCCACAGTACAATTCCTATCAAAATTTTCAATTGCAGAAACAGAGATTTAACCAAATTTAAGTGGATTAAGAGTTGGTGAACTTGGCATGCATAGTTTATCAACTATAATTTCCTCAGCCCTTATCACACATCACAGATCAGAAAACTG